GATAGATAGATAGATAGATAGATAGATAGATAGATAGATAGATAGATAGATAGATAGATAGATAATGATTGTATGGACAACAAAAGTCTTGACTGCATCAAATAGTAAAATTTTGATAGAAATTATTATGAAGGGTGGGTAACAACAGCTAGCCAACCTCAGCTGAGAAAATAAAAACCTTAGAGGACCTAGTCAAATCAAGTCAAGTTACCACTTGAGTAAGATGCCATCAAGAAAACTAGGATTGTAGGCTAAATTGGACAGTTGATATAGTATAAAGCAAGTTACTTCCACACTATTGGCAAGAAAACTAGTTTGATATGCCTATATACTCCACAGTTCAATCCTATATACATTCTCTTCTATTGGTACATCTATATAGTCACTGGGAGTTGAGTTCAAATGAAGAAAGTCTCTACCATTATCCTTTTGCCCTAGGCCTTGCTTATAGAACTGGCCATGGCTTAAAAACAATAAAAACGAAGATGTACTGATGACTACTGACAAATAGGTTACCAAAAGAATGTATTTATACTGTATATCCCTTTCATCCCCGCCCCCTTTCAAATTCTTGGCTTTGAAAGCAAACTTGAGAACCAGTCAAGACTGAAAGATAATACACACAGATACTGCATTACTTCAAGATAAATCTATTGAATTACTTCAGTTTTAAGTGGTGGGTGGGTATGTTTATAGGGAGATATTCAGATGAAAGAGCCAGTATTCTGGATTTTGTTTTTCTGCTCTCTGAACCATAGAACTCACTTTGATTGTAATGGCAGCTGGGGAATTGTGATACAGCTGCAATTTCTAAAATTTTCTCTTTGTTTCATCTTGCTTTCCATCATCTGCTGATCTCTTTGTAAACTACCAGTCTTGAGTCTACATAAAATTATCCACCAGTTTATGTATCAAGGAGGCTAAGCTGTAAATGGTAGATTTTGAAGAAAACATTTTAAAATGTCACAATGAAGATTATGCATTTTAAGCCCTTTCCTTATGATAAAGTCCATATAGTTATCTTCAAAAAAAGAGGAAAAAATGGATCCAGGAAACTACAGACCTATCAGCCTATTATTGATACCTGGAAAGATTCTGGAAAAGATAATCAAGCAATGAATCTGCAAACACCTAGTGGCAAACAAAGTCATAACTAAAAGCCAACGTGGGTTTATCAAAAACAGATCATGCCAGACAAACCTTGCATTCTTTGACAAAGTGACAAAATTAGTGGATCAGCAAAATGCTGTGGATATAATTTACTTGGACTTCAGTAAGGTGTTTGATAAAGTAAAGTACAATCTACTACTTGATAAGATACATCACTCACCAAGTGGATTCATAACTGGCTGGCCAACCACACTCAAAGTGTAGTCCTTAATGGAACTGCATCTACAGTGGAGGGAAGTATACAGTGGGATATCCCAAGGCTCTATCTTAGATAAGTACTTTTCAATATCTTCATCAGTGATTTAATGGAGGAGATACAAGAGGAACTCATCAAATTTGCAGACAACATCAAACTGGCAGGAACAGCCAAAACTTCAAAAGATAAGCTCAAGATACAAAAGGATCTTGACGGATTTGAACACTGGACCCTATCTAACAAAATAAAATCAGTGGAGAGAAAAGTAAGGCTCTATATTTAAGCAAGAAAAAACAAATGTACAGGTACAGAATAGGTGATACATGGCTCAATAGTAGTAACCTCAAGAGGGATTTTGGAGTCCTAGTAGACAATCACTTAAATATGAGCCAACAGGGTGCTGCTGTTCTAGGTTGCATTAACAGAGGAACAAAATCAAGATCATGTGAAGTGTTAATACCACTTTATAATGTCTTGGTAGGACCACACTTGGAATACTGAATTCAGTTTTGGTCACCACAATATAAAAAAAGATGTTGAGGTTACTACTATTGAG